GCGTGAATAAGTTTTTCCGCGTCACTTTTAGGAAGGAAATTCCTAATTTTAGCGATGTTCTGTAAGTGGAAGTACGCCGTTTTAGTTGCTTGGCTTATATAAGCCTTGAAGGAGAGTTCTTGGTCAAAAATTACTCCAAGATTCCTCACAGTGTTACTGGGTATAATACTGACATTATCGAGAGTGATTATCTGGTTAGTAAGGGAGTCACGCAGGCGCTTCGGACCGAGTAGGATCACTTCTGTCTTCTCCGGGTTGAGAAGTAGGAAGTTAAGAGTCATCCACGTTTTAAGGTCCTTTATGCAGGCACTAAGCTTTTCTAGCTGATCTGTCTGATTTGGCTTCATCAACAGATAAAGCTGTGTGTCATCTGCACAGCAGTGGAAATTAATTCCATGCTTTTTAATAATGTTTCCTAACGGCAGCATGTAGAGAGTGAAAAGAATCGGTCCAAGAACCGAACCCTGCGGCACACCGAATTCCACTCCAGAATAAGGCGACGAGTTCTGATTTACGTTGACGAAGTGATACCGATCTGATAAATAGGATTGAAACCAGCCAAGGGCTGTTCCTCTAAGACCTATATCACATTCTAGCCTCTGCAGTAGAACGCTGTGGTCTATTGTGTCAAATGCAGCACTAAGGTCCAGTAGGACCATGTTGATGCTAGTTCAGCCAGGTTTGTCCTTAAACAGTCGCCCGATGAAAGAAAGGAAACTACAAACTTAGATAAATATAAAAGAAGGTTTAATATATAAAACAGAATACATATAAAAGACAGGCTGAGAGAAGCCTGGGTCTAAACTACCTACACGGACAAGAGCCAAAGCACAAAGACCTCGCTGATAGTGCAGCCTACTAGCCTATACCAGAGGTAACAGGATATGAAGACTTAAAACACATGTGACAATATGACCTATGAACTCTACGTTAGAAAACAATCTTCTCTTCCATCAGAAGAAGTGTCTTCTTGCATTAGACCAACTCAACCCAGATGTTTTCTGGCTTCATGCTTGTTTACTCTTCTCGTCTTTCACTCTTGCCTGGGGGCTGGGAGAATGCTGCATCTCGTCACCCTCAATGCATGAGTTGGTTAATCTAAACTAGACCCTACTAATCTACACACATTTATTAATATGATAATACACATAACATTTCTTAACAGACCAGCACTGACACTTGTCCATTATCAGCAGCTAGTAGTAAGTCATTTGTGACTTTGACTAGTGCCGTTTCAGTGCTATGATGAGCTCTGAATCCTGATTGAAAGACTTCAAACATATTATTTTCCTGCAGGTGGCAGCAAAGCTGCTCAGCTATAAGTTTTTCCAGGATTTTAGATATGAAAGTGAGGTTCGAGATCGGTCTGTAGTTTGTAAGTATTTCTGGGTCCAGGTTTGTTTTCTTCAGAAGGGGTTTGATTACCGCGGTTTTAAAAGCTTGTGGGACATAGCCACATTGTATGGATGTGTTTATTATATTTACGATTTGAAGAGCCATGTCGGGATTGCGTCTAACATGCAAGTTGAGGCTTTGGAGGATGTGACCACAGAGATCACTTCTGCTTGGCTCACAGCCATGAATTTATCGAGGCCCACTGAAGAGTCTAAGTGGGAAGTCAAGTATGCCGCTTCAGCCTGTCCACTACCAACAGCAGGAGTAACCTCTTCCAGTTTGTCATGGATGGATGTAATTTTATAATTAAAGAAATGGAGAAAGTTGACAATGCTCAGTGAGCTTGAAATTTTAGGCTCGATTGCGCTATGGCAGTTTGGGAGTTTAGCGACGGTGCTAAACAAAAATCTACTGTTATTTTTATTCGCTTCTATTAAAGTTGAATAGTATTGAGTACGAGCCCTGCGAAGGGCATTCTTGTAGTTTCGGAGACCTGCTTTCCACTCCCTGTGGACAGGCTCCGAGTGGGAGTGGCGATATAGCCTCTCCAATTTTTTGACGTCCTGTTTTAAAGTGTGGAGTTGAACACTGTACCAGGGCGACGATGATCTAATCTTAATAGTTTTCTGTTTTAAAGGAGCTGCTGCATTAATGCAGATTTTAAAGACGCCATAGTGTTGTCCACCGTTTGGTCAATGACTTAGGGACTGCAGCAGCTGTGAACAGGTTCACCTGCAGCAGTATTCAACATTGGCTGTATTAGTTCTTTGAACCTTGTGATAGATGTATCATTTAGTTCGCGGACGACACCACCCTCATTGGACTCATCTCCAACAACGATGAGTCCGCCTACAGGAGGGAGGTGGACCGGCTGGTGTCCTGGTGCAGTGGTAACAACCTGGAGCTGAACGCCCAGAAGACAGCGGAGATGATTGTGGACTTCAGGAAGAGCACTGTCCCCCCACCCCCACCCTCCGTGATGGACTCCCCCATCACCTCTGTGGAGTCCTATCGTTTCCTGGGCACCACCATCACCCAGGACCTCAAGTGGGAGCCGACCATCAGCTCCCTCATCAAGAAGGCCCAGCAGAGGATGTACTTCCTGCGGCAGCTCAGGAAAGCCAAGCTGCCTGCACAGATGTTGGTGCAGTTCTACACGGCCATCATCGAGTCCATCCTCACCTCCTCCATCACCGTGTGGTTCGCTGGAGCCACAATCAGGGACAAACAGAGACTACAGCGCATTGTGCGCTCTGCAGAGGAAGTGATCGGCCGCAGCCTTCCATCGCTGCAGGACCTATACGTCGCCCGAGCTGCACATGGACTATTCCAACCACTCCCCTCAGGCAGGAGGCTGCGGTCCATCAGGATAGAACCTCCCGCCACAAGAACAGTTTCTTCCCCTCTGCTGTTGGACTCTTGAACACTTTTTAACCTGTCCCCCGTCCTTTATAAAGTCACTTTACTGCCCATCATACGTCACTTTACTTCACTGTACTGCTGTCACCTTACATTGTGTGCACCATGTGCACTTGTATATTGTAAACAGTAACTGTAACTCTATTTTAAATTTAAATTTATTCTTTAGAAGTGTTTTTTATTCTTGTTTTTATTATCTCTTTCTGACTGTTGCACTGAGCCAAAGCAATTTCCAAGTCTGTGACCTCCTGTTACTTACGTGGCAATAAAAATTATTCTGATTCTGATTCTGATTCTGATTTAAGGTTCTTTTCATTATGGTTTTATCTTGCGGCGCAGGAAAGTCCTCCAAATCGAGATCAAACGTGATCAAGAAATGGTCAGACAGCAACGAGCTTTGACGCTGGACGTCAACATTGGAGACATCACAGCCGTAGGTCAGGACAAGGTTCAAGGTGTGGTTATGAATGTGAGTAGGTTCCTCAACATTCTGAGTACAAACAACACCATCTAGTACGGCGCTGAAAGCTTTGTTTAAGCTGTCAGTGCTGTCGTCCACATGTATATTGAAGTCTCCAGTTATAACTATGTTTTCCCATTCCAAACTAGGTTTGAAATGAAGTCAGAGAATTCTGTTAGGAACTCGCTGTACGGACCAGGATGTCGGTATAAAATTATAAATAGCACCGCTTTTTGTTTTCTCCACCCAGGACAGGTGATTGAAAGTGTTAAGTTTTCAAACAAGTGAAAAGCATTGTTGGTTTTGGGACTAAGAAGTGTGTGATATAATCGCAACGCCACCGCCGCGACCTGTAGTTCTCGCTTTCTGGTAGTTAGATTCAGATTCAGATTCATTTTATTTGCCATTTGCAGTAAAAAAAAAAAAACACATTGGAATACATTAGCAAAAAGTCTAACATGCGTCGGAGGAGTGCACTCAGTCAATCTAACGTAGTCGTCTTGTTGGAGCCAAGTCTCAGAGAGCGCAAACAAATCCAAGTTTTTGTCTATAATAAGTTCGTTTATGAGAAGCGATTTAGACGAGATTGATCTGACGTTCATTAATCCACATTTAACAACCCTACTTTTAGAACTATTTCTGTTTGTCTGAACTTTTATTAAGTTACTGTGTCTGACACCCAGATCAGATTTCCTCAAGCATATAGTGCTTTAGACTTCAAGCGAGGAACACACACAGTTTCAATCTGACTAAGTTCTGAGGCTAGTAACTGAGCACACACAGGCACACACACACACGCACGCACAGTTTCAATCAATGAATAAATGGGTTATTTGTGTCTTTTTCATATCCTACAGATTGATATTGAGCCATTATTAATGCCTCAACAGGGGGGAGATATGATTTATAGGGGAGCAATTACATTACATTAAATTTCTATAAGACACAGGTCAAGAGGGGTCTCTAAGTTGAGTCGACATAACTTGGATTCAAATGTTTGTAATAATTTCATTGTGTTCCATCTTTAAGTTGGTTTACTAAACATTGAATGTGGTTAATTCTTTTAATGAAAACAGGGGGGATATGATAGAGGAGTTGTTGGATTTTCATTAAAGTGAATGAATTTATTCAAGTTTAGACAGCTTTGGGTTAACCTATACATGTCAGCAGCACTCCAGACTGTCATGAGGTTGACGTGACTCTTGCAGAACAATAGCATCTCAGAGAGGTCTGTCATGAGACTTCATACATACATTGTCTGTGTATGATGGTTTGTTGGTGAGTGTCTTGTGACGCTCCTCTCTAGTTTTGAACTAGCGCTGGCAACATTTATTAAAGAGATTATGTTGTTGAAATGTGAGCAGTTTTTTCACACTAATGCCAACCTGTTGCAGCGCACGGCAAAAGTGGAGCAGACGTCTAAAAACTTGTCTAAAACTGTGACAACAATGGAGATAAAGTTTGCCGATTTGGAGGATCGGAGCAGACGAAATAATATTGTGGTACATGGGCTTTATGAGCGTAGAGAAAACTTTAATGCTTTTACAATATATCACAGCCCAGCTCCCACTGTGGTTCCCCGCGCTGAAAGACGCGCCCCCAGAAATCAAGAGAGCACACCGCAAATCGGAGAAAAGCAACAACACCAAGGGTCATGATTTTCATGTGCCTAAGATACACTGACAGAGCAAAGATTTTGAAAGCTGTGGGAGACTCACCGCTGGTGATGGAAGGAGAGCAGGTCCGCTTCACAGTTGACTACAGCGTAGTCACAAATCCTGCTATCCTGTCATGGAAAAGGCTCGTCAAGCGGGTTACCAGGCTTTCCTGCTTTATCCAGCCACTATAAAAGTGTCCAAAGGCCATGAGCACGAGGTATTCCAGGATCCTGTGAAGTTGGAGAAGTTCCTTGAGAGTCAAGAGGAGGAAGAATCCTTTGGAAACACGACGCGGGCTCAAGCTGCTCTGATCGATGATGAGAACAACGTCACATAAGCAGTCACACTGTCAGCTACCCTAACGTTCCCAACGTTCCCATGTTCGTTCCCAAAACATGATCATAATCCTCCAAAACTAAACGCTGTAACTAATGTTTTGGTTCCACACTGCCGGTCACGTGACAAAGATGACAATGCTGGTGATTGGGTGAGTGCGTCGCCGAACATTACAGGAGGACAGAGGACAGTGACTAATGAATGTTCGTAATATGAAATGAACTAGAGGGAACGCATTGTATAATATGATCATGATGGACTAAGGAATATTTCTGTTCAGCAGGACAATAAGGAGAACCTTACTGCACTAGTTTCACAATGATTACTGATTACTGGGGGTGTGAATGGGAGGTGTGAGTGTGTGTGTATGTATTTCCAATGTATAATGTATTTTGAATTGGGACCTAGTTACTATGAATGTAAAGCTACAGTAGAGATTACAGCACTATAGTGGTTAATGATAAATTTCATTATCATCAATAATTGAAAATGTGACGTTTAAAAATCTTCCTAAGAAGGGACTAAAATTGGCACATTTGAACGTGCGGAGTCTGAGAAATGAAATGATTGATATTTCAAATATTCTAAAAGTAGGTAATTTACATATTCTTGGAATCTCTGAGACTCATCTGGATTCTACATTTGAAGACTCCTCATTGTATTGATTGATGCTGCCTTTGATGCTGACCCTGACACCCTGCCCCTGAAACATCTATATCAAACAACTCTTCTTGAGGCTGCACCCCCGCAAAGCTCCTGGCCCGGACCACCTGTCTCCGGCCACTCTGAGACACTGCGCCAGTGAGCTTACTCCTGTGTACACTGACAGGACTCTCTGCAGTCCTGCCATGTCCCGGCCTGCTTCAAATTCTCCATCATTGTCCCCGTCCCGAAGAAGCCCAGGATCACAGGACTCAATGACTACAGACCTGTAGCACTTACGTCTGTCGTCATTAAGTCATTTGAACGCCTGGTCCTCTCCCATCTCAAGTCCTTCCCCTTTACCCCTCCTGGGCCCCCTGCAGTTTGCCTACAGAGCCAACAAATCTGTAGACAACACCATTAACCTGGCCCTCCACCACATCCTACAGCACCTGGACTCCCCAGGGACCTACGCCAGGGTCCTGTTCGTGGACTTCAGCTCTGCCTTCAACACGATCCTGCCATCCCTGCTCCAGGACAAGCTCTCCCAGCTCAATGTGCCCGATTCCACCTGCAGGTGGATCACTGACTTCCTGACGGACAGGAAGCAGCGAGTGCGTCTGGAGAAGAATGTCTCGGACTCTTGGACTAGAAATACAGGAGCCCCACAGGGCTGTGTTTTTTCTCCCCTGCTCTTCTCCCTGTACACCAACCACTGCACCTCCAGCCACAACTCCGTGAAGCTGATCAAGTTCACGGACAACACCACCCTCATTGGACTTATCTCCAACAACGATGAGTCCGCCTACAGGAGGGAGGTGGACCGGCTGGTGTCCTGGTGCAGTGGTAACAAACTGGAGCTGAACGCCCAGAAGACAGTGGAGATGATTGTGGACTTCAGGAAGAGCACTGTCCCCCCGCCCCCACCTTCCGTGATGGACTCCCCCATCACCTCTATGTACAAGAGCAAATACCTGTAAAAATAAGAATGGATCTAACATTACCCAATATTGAAGCATTATGGCTTCGAGTCCATATTCCCTATTTAAAGCCGTTACTGGTTTGTTGCTGTTACCGTCCACCCAATGCAAACTCTGCTTATCTGGATGCTGTACAATGATAGACAATGTATGTGATTGTCAAAATGAAGTCTATATTGTGGGAGACCTTAATATAGACTGGAATTTGATGCAGTGTCCTTTGAAGGACAAACTTCAATCTATTACTGAAGCATGTGGTTTAGCAGAGCTCGTGACTAAACCAACTCAAATAAGCTGTAGAACTGATGGAACTAAAACAGGAGGACCTCTCCTGTTTTCTATTTTTACAAACGACTTGCCACTAGTATTACAAAAATCAAAAATAGTAATGTATGCCGATGACCATTTATTCGTCATAAAATACGGTAAAAGAACTGGAAATTATTTTAAGGGGGAAATTAAAATTAGTATGTGAGTGGGTTACCAACAACAAGCTAGTTCTGAACATTAGCAAAACAAAAAGTATTGTATTTGGAACAAAACATATGCTGCTGGATGAACCCAAATTGAGTCTTGTCATCAGAGACGTAGCTGTGGAGCAGGTGCCACAGACCAGACTGCTTGGTATTAAACTTGATAATGAGTTGTCTTGGTCAAAGCATATTAGTGCGGTGGCCAGTAGAATGGGGAGGCGCCTCGCTGTGGTTAGAAGATGTTGTCATATGTTATCTTCCAGTATGACTGTTGATGTTTTTAAAACACTTGTGTTGTCCCAGTTAGATTACTGCTCAATAATATGGTCATGTACTACAGTAACAAAGGTAAGGACTTTACAAACTGTCCAAAATAGAGCAGCTCGCTGTGCTCTTCGGTGTTCCATCAGAACAAATGTAAACTGGATGCATGACACCTGCAGGTTCAAGGTGAAAGAGAGATTCACTGGTTCCTTAATTAATGTAACCAGAAATATAATTAAAAGTAAAGTTCCACATGTATTTTACAGAGAGCTAAATTTTAGTCTGGAAGAGCATCTTTATGAAACCAGACATGCCACAGAGGGCAGATTTAAACTGCCCAAAGTAAGAACTAACAACGGAAGAAATACTATAGAGCCATGTGTGGTTGGTAAACTTTGCCCAGTGACATTACTCATGCAAACAGTAAGTACCAATTTAAGGCCCTTCTGAAAAGACATCTGTTTCATGTAACTGGTTGATTTTAAAAGTTGTGTTTTGTGACCAAATGTTTTGCTGCTAAGAGTCAGATTTATCTCTTGTCTTTTTTTTTTTTTCAGAATATTTCTAGGTCCTTTGTACAGTTGCGTGTGTATACATGGATTTCTTGTTTACAAACATTCGGAGATGCGCGCGCATACCAGGAGCAAGACATGCTAAGCGGCTAAGTGGTTAACATTATAAGTCTCGTTTGAACTCTGTACAGCATACAATAATCACTTTTTTTTCAACTGGGCTGGCTATTGTAGGCTTTTGCGTGGTATGTGCACTCTTGTGGACACCCTATAGAATAACACCAGGTCGTAATTAGATCGTAAATGTTTATAATGCTCTCATAATAACCATACGCCTATGTTGCCGTAAGGCTAGCCAGCCACATCTCGGGATCTTCGTCACCACTGCTGTTCACACTGAATGCTCTGTCATGTCTGAATCATGTCAGGATTATCTACCGCTATCAAAGTTGAATAAAACTATAGTCTCTGAGTTTTTTATTTGCACAATTATAGCTGCTTGGCCGAATTAGCCTAACCCAATTAATCTGTCAACCCCATTACCTGTATTATCAAAAGTGTGTAAATAATTTTGAAACAAAAGAGCAAATTATCAATGGTTAAATAACTCCGTGAAAATGGCTAAGTAGTAAGTTTCATTTGGTTTCACGTCATCTTATAACAATTAACTTAAAAGGTCAAATCGGGGCTAACCTGTTTACGGCAAATTAATTTACGACCTGTCAATCTTGGCTACTGTGCCGGTACGCTGTTTGCTAGTTAAGGATGGCTAACATTACAAATTACACAGAAACTCTGAATACTTCTGATCGTGCAGGTTATTTTCGTAAGTTGGTCCTCAGCGATGGTCATCAGTTGCCTGATCCATACACTATTCTCACAGAACAGTGGGTTGTAGATAAGAGTAAATGGCCATCGGTTACCTGGCCTGATATCTATAATTATCTTATTCAGACACCCAGTGTCTATACAAAAGAGAACCTAAAAGCATATAAGTCTATAGATGCATACAATTATGTGTTATGTGGGCATGTGAGGAATGTAAAATTCAAGGCAGAAACAAAAAATTAAGACTCAACACCATTTAGTCGTTCACACACCTTTGTACAGCATTCTTTAAAATAACTCAAAAATTAACATTTTCATTAATTCATATTATTTACATGTATTCTGATTACATTTTCGTCCATTCCTTCAGTATGTTATTTACATTCAGTACCTTCAAATTATAGGTTATTTTCACATTCTTGACTTTTACAGTGTTATTTAAATAAAATGTCCAATTGTTTTACCCGATTATTATTTTGCAAGTAATGTGAATCACAAACCCCATATTCTTTCAAGTTATTTGGGAACCACAGTCTTCCTAAGATTGGTGAGACATGCACATATAGTTACAATGTCATCCAACATATCAACATGGCTGATGGGTATGACTGTGTTTAAGATCTTAAAGTCTTTAAGATGACCAATAACTCTCTCCACATGTATTCGGACTCTTGACAACTGGCGTGAAGTGTCGACACATGAAGCAGGCAACTGGGACTTCCCCTTGGTAAAACTTGGTATTCTTAATATTGCTCCCACAACAGCCAATTCCTCTCTAACTAGGAAACCTCGGTCTGCAAGAATCTCATCTCCATTCTCAAGATTTTCCAAAAATCCGGAACCCAGAGTTATTACTTTATCAGAGGCACGACCACCCCACCCATCAGACAAAAAAGATATTGCCCCAGCTGGAGTTATTCCAATTAAATATTTTATGGTATTTTGATGCTTGTAATTTGACCAAGTTTCAGCTCTTGCTTTCAGATTATATGTTCGCTCTATGAAGATTTCTGTACAGTCTATAATGCAACGACAGTTCTTAAATTTTGGTTTGAAACATTTTGGCATGTTTGCTGTAACTGCTTCCTTACTAGGCCAAATTATCAATGGTTTCAAAGTTAATGATAACAAGGGTATCCACTCTCTTATGATTTTGGAAACAGTTGAGAAAGAAAGGTCAAATCGTTGTGCCAGATCTCTATTGGTGAGGCCAAGTCTGATTTTCATTAAAACCAAAAGGAGGTGGTTCTCCCAGCTTAACCCACCCTTTAGCACTAAAGTGGTTCGTTTGAGGATGGTTAA